GCGCCGGCGCCGCGTGCTCTACAAAGCGGTCGCGCTTCTCTGGGAGCACGACATTGCGATCGCCAACATGGTGCTGGCCACGCCGCTCCGGCCGATCTCGCACTGGGACCTCTACTGCGAGTCCGTCGCATCGTCGGTTGCGTACTTTGCGCTCTGGAAGGGCCTTTGCGTATGGCTCCTAGCGACGACGCCGGTCCTGCTATTGGCGCTGGACGTGCAGACGCTGCCACCGCTGCGCACGGACCTCCAGCTCTTCCTCGACGACCCGCACCCGCTCGTATACCGCGCCGGCGTCCTCGCCTACTGCGCGCTCGGCTTGTACGTCTGCGATCTCCTCGCGAGCGCCATGGTCGTCGTGACGTCCAAGGTCTATGGCCGCGTCTTTAAGGCTGCCGAGGCCTTCCAGAATGACCTTCGCATGGTCGCGATCGACGCGCCCGTGCTGCCATCGAATGCGCTCACGACGTATTCGCAGCGGTCCCAAACGCAGCAGGCGCGGTGCGATACCGAGGCCACGTCGAGCAAGACGCTGCACTGGTCGCTGCCGCCGTCTGCGCCGACACCGCCCGCTTTCGATAAAGCGTGGCCTCCGCACAGCGTGCAGGAACACGACCACGAAGACGATGTTGTCCAGACATTTGCCAAGCCTGCGCGGCGCCGCCTCAACATTGGTCGCATCCTCGCCACGTCGGCCAGCCCACCATCACCACCCTCCTCGACCCTGTACGACCGGCTCAGCCCGGCCGTCGACCGCGCCGCCCGTCCGTACGATCCGCTCTCGCCACCCGCAGATCTCAGTCGCGAGGCGCGGCAGGGCGTGTTTCGAGCGCTCCCAACGACGCCGTCGGCGGCCGACATTCATTTTGCCGCGTACGGACCGCTCTGTGTTGGGATCCTGCCGTTTGCGCTCGACATTTGGGCCTTTGAGTCGCAGCAGCGCGACGACGTGCATGCCGAAGCCACGACGGCGAGCTGCCGCGCGCTGTCGCGAGACGTGCTTCTGTCGCACGTTGCCCGCGGCACGCTCGTGCACGTGTCGCTGGATGCGCTGCCCGAGGGCTTTGCGCTGCTGAGCGAGACGGCGTCGCACACATTGGTACGTCGACGCTGCGCGCCCCTCGCCTCTGACAAGCCGCGTAGGTATGGCATGGGGACATCGAGCACGTTTCGTTTCCGCTGCAAGCAACGGCGCCGCAGTCAGGCCATGTGCTCTTTACGTGCACAATCATCATTGGCCATCAAGTGCAGACGCTTCGGACGTACATTTTATCGCACCCGAGCCACGGCGACGACGAAGCCAACGTCCAGGTAAGGCGTCTTCTACAGTGCGTGCAGGCATGCTGACGCGACTGCAGCTCCTGGAAAGCACGATGGAAGTGCAGGAGGCGGGCGGGTACACGGAGATCGCGTACGCTGACCTCACCATCAAGGAACTCGTGGGCGCCGGGGCCAGCGGGGATGCGTACCGAGCCTCGTACCGCGGCCAAGAGGTGCGGATAGTGCTCAAGTTAGTACGTCGGCACGACGGGGCGAGCATGCATATAGGTTGTCGTCAAGACGCTCCGACAGAGTGCGTTCGGGGACAAGCAAGACGCGATCGTGCAAGAGTTCCAGCACGAAGCCGCCGTCCTCGACAAGTTTGGCAAGCACCCGCGCATCGTACCGTTCATCGGCGCGTGCAGCGACTTGGCCTTCCCGCTGAGCCTCGTGACGGCCTACGTACCGCACGGAAGCCTCGAGACGCACCGAAGCCACCTCTCGTCTCTCCAAAAAGACCTCGTGCTCGCCGATATGGCGGCGGCGACGGCAACGATCCACGCCGCGGGGTTCGTCCACCGCGACTTGGCAGCTCGGTGCGTCATCGTGTCGCATCGAACGAAGCTCATGCGATGCTGTAGCAACTGCCTCGTCGACAGCGCCCAGCGCGGTGTGCTCGCTGACTTTGGCTTGTGTCGCCGCGTGAGCTCCTTGGGCGGTGCGTTCGTCCAAGAAGGCGTCGGCCCGCTCAAGTACATGGCGCCCGAGACGCTGACGCCGCCGTATACCTTTACGCCCCGCTCGGACGCGTTTGCCTTTGGGTGCGTACGATAGCCTACGTAATATGCAGGATCCAGACGGGCGGTTGAGTAGGGTCATGATCTGGGAGACGCTCACCGAGGCGAGTCCGTTTGCCTCGCTCTCGCCGCTCCAAGCGGCCGTCCGCGTCCTCGAAGGCGACCGGCTCCCGACAGTCGAGCTGCGGCCGCGCCACCAAGCGCTCTTGCAAGCGTGCTTCCAGGCCGACCCGATGCGTCGCCCGACCATGGAAGAGATCTACACGATCCTCCTCGAGCCCGATGCATCGCAGCGCACGGACGCGCTCGAGCCGCCGATCATGGTGCGCCGGGCAGCCCGCGTCGCTGCCGTATGATGAAGCCGACCCGTCGCTGTATTGCATAGTGTTCTTCTTGTACTGTACTAGCTTGTCGTTGTGTACCCTTCCAGCTTGTTGATGAGAAGCGTCTACCGCGCCCGCGAGGGAATCGCCTTGCGCGTCCTCGTCTCTCGTCGGGGTACATGGCGGAGGTCGTTCTCGTCGCCATCTCCGCCCATCGACTGCTTGCGAGAAAGGTCGCATCTCTTCCTTCGTGAAGGATGTCATCGTCGCTCCCATGTAGGGGAACGCATGTAGTCCATCCTCCCGCCATCGACCTCGCCCTTGCATAGCCCATCTTGGCGTCGACCTCGCCCTCGACCTCGGGATACTTGCCATTCGTCGCGCAATCTAAAAATACCGTGTTTTTGGGTTTTCGATCTTTACGGAAAAGGGTCCGTTACGGGGGTTTCCGTGGGAATCGCGACCGTCGAGCAGGCCCAGTTGCGAAAATCCGAGTCTATGAACGCCACGTCATCGTCGTCGTCGTCGTCGTCGCCGGCGAAGGAGGTCAAGCACCGCAAGGTGGGCATCCCCAAGTTCCTCCGGTACCTCTACCAGATGCTCGAGACGGAGGACCCGGCGATCATCGCGTGGGCGTTCGATGGCTCGTCGATCCAGATCCTCGACCTCCACGCGGTCGCCAACGTCGTCTTGCCCAAGTACTTTAAGCACTCGAACTACGCGAGCTTCCAGCGCCAGCTCAACTACTTTGGCTTCCGCAAGTGGACCAAGAGCCAAACCAACATTTGCACGTTCAGCCACCCCGAGTTCCGGCAGAACCGACCGGACCGCCTCTGCCTCATCAAACGCAAGAACCGCCCCGAGCGCTCCAACGTGCAGGCGCGCCGCCAGGTGCCACCGTCCTTCGCATCGCCCGGCCCCTGGACGATGGACGATGGCATGCGCCAAGGTGAGGCCACGAAAGCGCTGGCCATGACGACTGCAACGCTCCCCACCACGAGCCGGTCGTCCTCGTACCCGCGGGCCCAGCTCTCGCCGACGCTTCCGAACAGCGTGCTCTTCAACGACTTTCATGGCCTTCCTTTCATGCAGGCGTACCGCGCACCGCCGCCACCGATGCCCAACGTCTTTACGTTCCCCTCGCCGCCCGACGACCAGAATTCGGGCCGCGCTGGCAACACGCCTGACCACATGTGGTACTACTACACGGGCTGACCCTCTCGATTTCTTCCTCCCCTCTCCTCGTCGTCGTCGCTATTAACTCGAATCGCTACCATTGCCAACGAATATACTTCAGGTCTTAAAAGTCCCTTCGATCGGCAATCATGTCGAGGAGGTTGTCACCGTCGTCCTCGGCCGCATCGAGGAGGCTCGGGTACATCTCGACGACGAGCAGCAGCATGATCTGCATCGCATCGGCGCGCGGAAGTCGCCGGAACGACTCGAACTCGTGCGTGGCCTTGAGGTGGCGCTGCAGCTCTCTCGCCGTCAAGAGCTGGTCCGTCGAGTACACATAGTGGTAGTAGCTGTCGACACCGGACGGAAGCGACCCGCGAAGATCGTCGTCCACGTAGTCGTCAAAGCGCTGGCTGGTCCAGTTGGTCGGTCGCGTCGGCAGCGAACTCCGGTGCGCCGATCGCTGCTTCTCGACCACTGACGGCGCCGACGACGGGCCATTCATGAAGGTCTGGCTCATCTTGTGACCAAGCGTGTGTGCATCGGCCGACTTGATTTGCTTGGGGAACGAGATCGACGACGACGACGACCGGTACAAGAGCAGCGGTGGCACGCACGCGCAGTGCTCCTTGAGCAGGCGCATCCAGTCGTGCATCTCGTCAAGCGTATCGGCGCCGAGGTAGTACACGCGCTTCTTTTGCGCGCATTGGGGCGGGTCCACCTGGTTGACGACAAGATTGCACCTACTCGGGAACCACTGCTGCACGTACCTTGAAGAAGAAGCCATGGCGCGGCAGTTTGGCGTCGCGGCCGTTGCAGGCTTCGATCGTCGCTCCCTCGAGCGCCACGTAGCCGAGCGGCTGCAGCTTCTCCTCCGACTTGTAGTACGTGAGGCGGCCGTCCTTGAGAACAAACCAGCGGCGCTTCCAGTTTTGGACAAAGCCGCCCTACACGAAGAGGCGGGTTAGGAAACATTCGAGTCGAGTAATGTCTACCTGCTTGACGAGGAAACCGCGCTTGACCGTGTGCGTCGACATGGACGTCGAGAGCGGCGAGACGGCGACGCTCGGCGCGTGCGGCTCGTCGGTCGGTGTCATTTCAAACACGAGCTCGATCGAGAACGAGTCGGGGAAGCGCTTGTTGCCATCGGCGTCATCAATGTCTCGCTTGAAGAGAGTGACGCTGTTCTTGGGGTTGTTGCCGCGGAGCATCTACAGGTGGAGACGCGATTTTGAGATTCAGATTCAGATGAAGTTGACGTACCGTGTGCCGGAGAAAGTCCGTGTGCAATGTGACGTGGCACATTTGCGACTCTTTTTGCCGAGGATCGCACTGCCGTTGGCGTGGAAGACGCGGATGAGCACATCACCTTGCAGATGGCACTCGGTCTACGTCAAAGTTAACGACGAGAGATATCGGGTGTGACGCACCTGGAAGACGATGCGGGTCATCGGGTCGGACGGGTAGCTCACAAAGGCAGACGAGTCCCACGCACTGTTGTATACGATCGGCGTCTTGATGTGCTCGGACGGCGCAGGCAGGACGTGCAAAAACGGCGTGCACCCGCCATTGTCAAAGTTGGGCACGCCCGTCATGATAATTTGTCGCAGAAACTACAGACAACTTGTCCTACGACGCGAACACATTGTCGAGGCTCGTACGAGGTGGGAGGCCGGTGGGAGGTCTGGAAGGCGGTAATGAAAGTGGGCGGGCGGCGCGCGGAGCTCGGCGAGTTGCTTGATAAAGTAGTAGATGTACCGCGCTTGGCTCGGGTACCGGACGCCTTGGCCGCGCCGCTTCCAGAAGATGCCGTTCACCGTACGCACGTAGTCGACGAGCGCTTCGTCCGACTGGCGGTAAATGCTCAAGCCATACTCGCTACGTCCATTGCTCAGCAAGCGCAATGACAATATTCTCCATCAATACTGTACCGTTCAAAGTACCCAATGAGGATGAGAAAACACGTGACAACGACGCCCGTACGGCCCTTCCCGGCCATACAGTGCACGACGACCACGTTCTCCTCGTCCGCCATGTACCAGGCCGCCATTCGATTGATGATGTCGAGGAGCACCTGTCAATATCTATGTCATCAAAGGCCATATCGCGTCCTTAGTTGTACCTGGAGCGGCGGTGGATGGTGGTCGGGGAAGCCGCACTCTTCGACGCGCTGCATGAACTTGGCCTTGTCGTAGTGGCTACACCAAAACGATCAATGAAGGCGAAGCCTGCGCCAAGGTGCGTACCGCTCGCTGAGGTTAAAGATGAGGTACTTGTCAAGGTGTTTCTTGTTCAAGAAGGATGCGACGTCGGCGACGTCGTTGCGGTACGTCTTCTCCATGCCCGTCGCCGGGTAGCCCATGGCGAGGACCCTGCGCATGCAGGTAAGATCGACGCAGGCTCATGGCGCGTACCGGTCGTGGATGTAGGTGAGGTCGAGGTCGTAGCCGTCGTCCGTGTACCGGTTCCGCGTGCCCGAGATCGCGTTGCGGAGCACCTTCATCGTTGCTGCTCCTGGAAAAGTGAGTCGGTTGCTGCGAGAGCGGGCCGCACCCACTGCGATTGGCTCGCTTTGGTTCTATTTTGACCAATCGCGTGGTGTATCAATGACAGGATCGCGTCATCGTGTGGAATTCACTGTCCGCGAAATTTTTGGCGGCAATGCTATGTGATATGTGCACTGCCGCGCTGGGTCCCAAGGCCCTCGAATGTGCTCAGGATCGACCGGCGGGAGATGCATTATCGGATATCACATTGCCCTTTCGACACTAGTCGTTTTGCCTGTTCCCTCTGCCACACTTGGTCTCAAACTCTGGCTCGCACGGCTACCCTGTCGCAACAACAAAGCACCGAATCGTATGGCGACAAGAGGTTGTAAATCAAGTCCGTCTCTAACCATCTTGAACGACGTTCTGCACGATCATCGTGGCTCTCATGCATCGTGGCACGATGCATGAGAGCCAGGAGCACATGCACCAGAGCATAGCAGTAGGATTCCAACTAACGAGAGCGAAGCAGTGTCTGACTGGATGATGAGAGGGACCCATTGGAACCGGCCGGTGTCCCCAGGACTAGTACGACGACACATGTGTCGAACAACCCGAGGCAGTCGATACTGTGCTGCGTGCGGCTGTCATACGGGCTGACTGTGCGGGATTGTACTGAGCAGATACCTCTCGAAGCGCCCTTGACCATGCGTCGTGTGATTTGAAAGCCAATAAATCAGTACGTTGTCGGAAGCAACCACGTTGAAAAGCTTTGGTGCACCACGATTGCAACGCGTCACAACCGCTCATTTTATACAGGCGCGGGCTAGGGTTCACAAGTGGTTCATTTCGACATCCGACGCGGGCTCGACGCCCACGGCGGATGTCGAAATGACCAAGGACGCTAGGAGAGGGCGACAAAGGGCTACCCGGCAGCGCCTTCCAGTAGCCGCTACTTTACAGTAGGGCACTCAAGCCGTGAAAGTGTTTTTTCCACCCCAGACCAAGAGTTTCGAACGCGAGATGGACAGAAAGCAGGTCCGAACGTGTGGTGCGCATCAAGCACTTCGCGCACCGCCATGGGTACGACCGACGACATGCACTTAAAATGGTGGCCAAACGTCTCTCCAGAGCAATCGAGATTGCTCGAACGCACCGCGTTGTCCGTGCGCAGAACCGAGCGCAGAGCTTCGGCGCGTTCTCAGTTCCGTGTACAATCAACTCGTCATCGCTTCAGAGTACACGACCCGCATCTTGCCCACAGGTGAGAAGATGCGTTCTTCAATATCCGACCGATTTGTATTAGTACACTGCAGCGATGCTGTGTGCATCGTCACACAACCAATGGAAAAGAGAGATGGTTCGACCTGGTACACGGTCGCCTCGTCGCCGCTTCAAATCCGAGTGGTGCAAGGTCCTGTTCAAAACACATGCATTTCGTCGTGTGCAGTATGGACGACCATGGCGAATGCACATGCAACGTCGTGGAGGGTCTGTAAAGGGAGGTTGAGCAGCATGATCCAGACCCGAGCGTAGTGCTTTCAACGGCATGGAACGCAAGCTCGGCGCGTTTTCGACGACAACACTGTTGCGGATGCGTAAAGAACTCACGGGGCAGCTTCGCAATCTTGGACTTGACCAAGCAGCTCGGACGACGCTACTTACGACGCGGTAACAATATCGACGCCGCGAGCACACGCGAAAGAGAGGCTGCACGTTCAAGTATCAATACAGCGCACGCAATGGTCGGGAGCTATTGTAAGTGCAAAGTCACCACGTACACGTACTGTATACAACCGGCGTTATTGCAATCGATCGCAGCGCCTATCCTTGGCTGCATTCCCATACCCAGTCTTTGGATCGGGCGATGAAATGGCTTTCTTGGAGGGTGTCGATGCGACGCCCAGCCTCCTCCGTCCTCATGCTTCGTGCCCTCCCTCCGCCGTCCCTCTTGCACGTCGTCCATCGTCGCAGTGCGTGTACACTCGCAGCGTCACAAATCGCACCCTCCCGCAAGGACAGGTAACAGTGTCGAGTGCAGTGCCCGCGCCGTGACCGACGGTCCATGACTGCTGTTACGACGACGGCAGCAACACGATGTAATCCTGGTGCAATGCACATTACAGCCTCGTCACTTGACGAGTGGTTTCGCCGGCGAGCTGCCGCCGAGGTTGAACTCTTCGAGGCGGCGCATCATGGGCGTGTTGGATTCGTTGTCGTAGCTCGTGTTGGAGATCTCGATGCGCTCGCGCATCTTGTCGAGCGTCTCCTTGAGCATGTCGCCAAATTCGGCGGCCATCTCCTCCATCTTGGCCTTGAGCTCTTGGATCTCGTTGTTCTTGCCCGCGAGCGCGCCGTCCTTGTCTCGCTTGACCTCCTCGAGGTGGACGCGCGCGAGCTCTACAATTTGCACGAAGACACGAAGGTCGGCGGCGTTGATGAAATAGGCGTGTACCGAGCTGGTCCCGCAGCTCCATGTTGGTGTTTTCGAGTGTGTTGATGCGATTGAGGAGCTCCTCCTGCATGCTCTTGTACTGCCGCGTCATGTCCTGCGTGATGCCAAACGTCTGGCTCCGCCCCGTTTCAAAGTCGCGCTGCAGATCCGCGACGCGGTTCTGGAGCTCGCGCTTCGCCTCGAGCGCCTTCACAGCGAGTTCTTGCCGGTCGGCGAGCTGCTGCTGCAACGACCGATTCATGCAGCCAAGGACCTTGACTTGGTCCTCGGGCGTGAGCACGCCACCATTGTCAGCGCTCTCGTCTACGCGCCTCCCCATAAGCGCATGATGGTGGATGGCATCGTCGTTCGTTTACCTTTCTTCTCCTTGCCCTTCTTCTTGTCCTTCTTCGGGCCCATGCTCGGTCGCGGTTAAGATCCACTGCGAACCGTCGCGATCCATCAATTCCCTTGGGTAGTATGTACTTGGCGGTTTTCTGTGCCCGAGAGGGATCGACCGCACATGGTCCACCGCATGAAGACGACTCTGGTCTTCGTGCCATACACATCGCTCGTCCCTGGGTATGACGACGGCGTCGAAGCAAAGGCGGCGATGGCTGGACCCAGATTAGTCGCATTGGCATTTGGCAATGTGGACGGTTGAACCGAACGAGTAGCCGCGCCAGAGAAAAAGATACTGTATGCACATCACTGCGTCGGTCTCGCAGCAGCAGGAGAGCACGCCCGGAGCGAGATATGTTTCCTGCCATCTTCCAACAGCTCCGTCCATGCGGTCGAATGTGGCACTGCATGCTGCTTGTCCATGGACCGAGCACGATAAGATCGTAGAGTGATCGCTTGGGTGCTGCTGCTGCGCGAGCAGATGCCATCCCTTCTGCCAGCCGACGGTTGGCACCGCGCAAGATGGGTCGTCCGTGGTTCAACCGCGGCTGGAGTAGGATGCACCGCAGTGTATATCGACACCAGACGTGCAATTCGTGAGACTTGAGCAACGCAGCGTTACTCGCGCGCATCTATTGCCAGAGAACTGACACGCGCTCATCTCTACTACCACGTCACGGTGCTGCGTCAGGGGCTGTCGATGTGGTCGCCCCGCCCGCATTGCGTGTGACGCATTGACGTAATGCCACCGTGTCGCGAGCTTCCGACGCGTTTCTTACTGTACCGGCGGCCACGAGCCCCACGCGCAGCTGCATGGCCGACGGGAGGAGGACGATGCGGCAGATATGAGTACGACGTGCGCTCTCTTTTCTACGTTGGAGCGCGCGAATCGTGAGCTCTGGTCCGGCACGTGAGTGCTCGCGCCATCCTTGAAGCAGACGGGTACTCACAGCTGTAACTCACGCGGTCGCTCTTGGCCGTTATCCGGATCCGTCCGTCGGCTTGGAGTTTGTATGCTCGGGAGAGTGACTGGCCCTTTCTTGCCTCTCCCCCCGTCAGCGCAGCAGTGTGAGTTGACTTCATTTACTCATTCACCAGGGACCTTATCGTTGTTGCGTGTAATATGGCCGACTCGTCGTCCGCGTCGGTAGCCTGCCCCAAATGCGGCAGCGCCATCACGCCCAACGACAAAGTGTGCATCTACTGCGGCACGAAGTCGGTGTCGCCGACGCGCCTCGGTCGGCGCCGTCGGTCGCCGTCGCCGCACCGGCGTCCGTGCCTGCGCCGCCAGCCTCGGCGCCAAGCCGCCGCCCGGTTGTGCCCACGACGCGCCGCGTCTCATCGAACGACAACATGCGCGACTCAATGGACCGCCTCACCGACGACATTGCCGATCTCCAGAAGCTCTGGGTGCCCGATGACTTCTCGGACGACTGCATGGACTGCGGCAAGCGCTTTGGCTTTCCCCAGCCGCGCCGCCACCACTGCCGCGTGTGCGGCAAGCTCTTTTGCCGCGAGTGCGTCATGAACAAGATGTGCGTCCCGCCGTCGTTTGGCTACGGCGACAAGCCCCAGCGCTGCTGCAAGAGCTGCACGATCTCGCTCCAGATGAAGGCCATCAAGCAGCCCGCCGACGTCTTCAACCAGCGCCAGCAAATGACGGCCGCGCGCGGTATGGCCGTGATCGCGGCGCCGGCCTCGGCCTCGTCGTCCGACTCGGCGGCGCCGACGCTCGCAGCCAACGTGCCCAAGCCGACGCCCAACATGCGGACGCTCGCCAACACGGTCATCGCGACGAGCCGCATCAAGTCGGGCTCGGACACGAACAGCGTCAACCTCAACGATTTCGCGACCAAGAACCCGACGCAAGTCGCGCGCGCCGAGCAAAGGAGTGCCAGATCTGTTTCCGGCAGTTTGCGATTGGCCGCCGCGCGTACCACTGCCAGCGCTGCACGCGCTCGGTGTGCAACGGCTGCTCGCAAGGCCAGAAGCCAATCCCGGAGCTCGGCTTTGCGGCGCCCGTCAAGCACTGCAACAACTGCATGTCCAAGCCGCCGGCCTTTGCGTCCATGGAAGTCGAGGGCTGCACCGAACCGCTTCCAGGCTTCGAGTTCCTCTCCAAGCTCGACATCAAGATTGGCGTCGCGGACGCCGGTGGCGAGACCGAGACGTACAACGTCGACGCGTTCTTCGAGCCCAACGCCGCGCACGTCAAGGCGCTTGGCGAGACGCTCCGCGCGTCCGACATTGAAGCCGCGAAGGAGTACAACCTCACGCGCAAGCGCAGCATGGCCGACTTTGAGTGGCTCGCGAATGCCCTCGGCGAGAAGATCACGGCCAAGGCGCTCCCGGCCTTTCCCGAGAAGCGCGTCGCGCGCTCGGCCAAGAAAGCCCAGTCGCTCCAGGTCTTCCTCTCGGTACGCCTGCCTTTCTCAGATTGCACTTTCTAAATGCTGGATTGTAGGGCTGTCTCGTGCACCCGCTGTACCGCGACTGCGATGCGCTCAAGGCCTTCTTTGGCTTGACGAACGACCAGTTCCGCGCGTTCAAGAACGCCGGCGCCAACACGGAGCTGCGTGTGGCGAAGGAGTACAGCGACGTGGTCGTCTGGCTCCAGCTCAAGATGGAGCAAGAGCAGATGGAGAACAAGCTCGCGACGCTCTTGAAGCGCAAGAAGGACAACGAAGATCGTGTCTCGAAGCAGGCCGCGCGCAAGCGCGCCCACGACGCCCGCGCGGTCTCGCAGCTCACGCGCCGCGAGCTCATCAACAAGCGCCACGAAGCGCTCGTTGCCCGCAAGGCGACCCAGGAGGCCCGCATGGCTCGCGAGAAGGAGCGCCTCGAGATCCAGCAAGCGTCCGTGCACATTGTGTACGACGACACCAAGGCCGACGAGGCCGAGCGGGCGCTCGAAGAGGACGTGCGCCAGAAGGAAAAGGTCGAGTTCCTCAAGTCCAAGGACGCGTTCCAGAACGACACGACCGAGTGGAACAAGGACATGGCGCAGTGGTCGCGCCAGCGCGCCGACTGGTCGGACCACCACAACCCGCCCGTCTCCAAGATGATTGCGAACGAGTGGATCGTCAAGGCCTTTGGCATCTCGTTCCAGTTCCAGCAGCTCGGCTTGGACGCGGCGATCCCGAAGGAGCTCACGGCGCTCCACGTCAAGGTGCAGCAGCTCCAGGACGCCGAGCCCTCGACGCTCGAAGCCGAAGGTGTCGCGCTCGACGACGAGTGGAGCGAGCTCAGCAAGGAGCGCGACCACTGGGCGCAAGACCGCACCAACATGAAGCGCGAAGACGACATGTGCCGCGACGAGGACGTGCGCTACAAGCTCGAACACGAGCACGTGCTCATGTACCGTGAGTGCCGCCAAGACAAGATGTCGCGCATCGAACGCGACCTCGAGGCGCTCGACATGGAGATCAAGTCGCGCAACAAGGCGTACTCGCAGCGCAAGCTTCGCCACGAAGCCCTCGACAAGGAGTATGAGCTCGAGTGGAAGAAGGCGCAGGATGCGCGCATGGAGTACACGTCCTTGCGCATGGCGCAGCACGGCGACCGCATCACGCGCGCCAAGAAGCGCTGCGAGACGCTCGCGGAGCAGCTCGCGCGCCAGCAAAAGTCGCAGCGCCTGCTCATGTTCAAGCGCGCGGCGATGAACGAGGAGCGCGATGCGGACACGAGTGTCTTTACCGAGCACAAGGACGGCTGCAAGGCCGCGGTCGAGGCCGCCAAGTCGGCGCTCGCGATGGCGCCCGAGTACGTCAACCGCCTCAACGGCGACGTCGACATCAACTCGGAAGAGACGTCGGACATTGTGGCCTCCAACTACCGCACGCCGATGGAGGGCGACGACGTCGACGAGCGCGATCACTTTATGAACGACGTGCGCGCGCGCCGCGCGCAGTTCCAGGCCGAGCTCGACGCGCAGCAGAGCCACTTGGCGTCCGAGCACGAGGTGTGCCAGTCGCTCCTCGACCGCATCTCGGGCTTCATCACGCGCCTCTCGGACGAGACGGTCACCGCGAGCAGCGAAGACGTGCTGATCGCCGAGTACCATGCGTTCCTCGAGAACGAGAAGCGCCTCGTCGACGACGAAGAGGCGTGCCGCGAGCAGAAGAAGGCGTACCTCTCGTCGCTTATGACGGACGCGGGCAACTGGGTCCTCGATGCGCTCCACGACCACTCGAAGCGCAAGAAGCGCGAGGCTGACCGGCTCGTCAAGCAAGCGGTCCGCGCGTCCGAGCTCCAGCGGCTCGTGCAGCACTTTACGCACCGCGTCATTGAGCAGGAGGAGCGCATCATGCGCCAGAAGCAGCGCATTCTCCAGGGCGAGCACAAGCTCGAGATGCTCAAGAGCTCCGACTCGTGGTTCCTCTACGTGACGGTGCACACGCCCGACATTGGCAAGCACGACGCCAAGTGCCTCGAGACGGCGCGCAAGGAGCGTGAGGAAGACATGGTCCAGGGCGGGAAGCTCCTCAACGAAGACGAGTCGGACGTCAACTCGGTCACGTCCGAGCTCGAAAAGTCCAAGGCGTGTGCGGACGAGAAGGCGGTCAAGCGCGACGTGTGGGCGTACGTCGAAGACGTCTACAACGTCGAGAAGCCGCAGGAGAAGGACGAGGACATGATGATGACGTCGCAGATCCGCGGGCTCGTCGCGCAGCTCGGCGAAACCTTTGAGATGCTCACGAACCGCCTCGCCGAGGAGGACGAGTCGCTCCAGCACGCGTACGCCAACCTGTGCTCGGAGGTCGAGTCGATCAAGTGCTTTATGGAGCGCATCGAGTCGGAAGAGTCGGCGCTCTCGACCGCCGAGAAGGCGTCGCTCCAGAAGGAGATCCAAGTCCGCAAGGCCGAGTCGGACCTCATTGAGCAGCGCGCGCGGGCGCTCAACTCGAACTACAAGTCGATCGCGTCCGAGCACGCGAAGCTGCCGGTGGCCTTTGACGGTGTGCGCAAGACACGAGCTGAGCGCGAAGTGCCGCTCAAGCTCCGCGAGTCGGAGCTCGACGTGATCCGCCGCCTCGTCAAGACGCGCAACTACTACGACCGCAAGACGTGCGCCGAGTTTGCCAAGAAGTTTGTGCCGGGCATGGACATGAAGGAAGTGCGCGACACGCTCGATTGGCTCCTCGTCGCCGTCGACGGCGACATCAAGGCCGTCGACCGCTGGATGGACCTCTCCAAGGGCGAGCGCAAGGAGATGTCGCTCATCGCGACCAAGGCGAGCGAGATCGACTGGAGCGCCGACATGCTCACGAAGATTCCCGCCTTCATTGACGTCGACCAGATGATCAAGGAGAAGGGCGCGCAAGCCGTCCACGCCAAGGAGCAGTGGGTCGTCGACCTCATCAACGTCAAGCGCGCGATCGCGTCCAAGGACAAGGACCTGTGCTTTGTCATTGACGAGACGCTCTCGGCGGCAAAGAAGGAAGAGGCCAAGGTCGCGAACGTGCTGGACAAGCTCAAGGCGAGCAAGGAAGAGGTCATCAACACGCTCCGATTCATCGACCAGGAGGAAGCCAACGCCGTGCGCAGCGGCAAGCCGCTTGAGGTCGAGACCGTCGCGCCCACCGTGGTGTACCAGTCGAACCGCAAGCCCATGCAGCGCGTGGCCAAGGCGGCCGTCGCTGCGGTGGCCCTCGCGGCCGTCACTGAAGCCGCTGTCCCCGAAGAGCAGGAGACGGCGGCGGCGACGACGCCGGAAGAGGTGACCCCCGAGGTGCAAGAGACGCCCGTCAAGTCGGACGAAGAAGCTCAAGTCGTCATGTCGAGCGAAGGCGTGGCGGTTGAGATGACTATCTAGAAGGTTGCAAGTACAGTACTGCGTAACTGTCTATATATAAAGTATAGTGTGTTGATGACAATATTGATATTGTGTGGTTAAGGACCAGGTTTCAGAGATAGTTACAGCGTGTTTTTGATTTTACACTTTAGCAATGCTGGCTGTAAGCGCTTCACAGACAGATTGGCACCGACGACAGCGTCGTGCATGGGAACGCCGGGACAAGCGGCAACGATCGCCTCGGTCAGCTCCGTCCAAAAGCTCCTTGTTCGGCGCGAAGGCGGTCAGCTCCGTGACGTCTTGGTGGAAATTGATGCGCTTCTCGAACGACGGTAGTCTACCTTGCGGTCGGAAAAATGGAGCCAGTCACAACCCTGGTCACAATCCATTTTGCAAAATGGCCAGCATCGCGCTCTACGTTCTTGGTGGCGCCCTTGTACGAAGAAGAAGGCCTCGGTGGTTCCACTAGCTCAACTCAACCTCTAGGCGCTGCAGGCGTGGGCCAAGCTCGGCCCCGCGCCGCGCCTCGATGTGCGCGACCAGCACGTCTTGATCACGGGTACTCGTACTTATATGGCTCTGACGTTCGTTGAAGCTGATGGGACTCGACGACAGGCGGCAGCCAAGGTCTCGGACTCGCGATCGCCACGCACTATGCTCGCGCCGGCGCCAAGGTCCCGTGCTCTTGACGTACCTTGTCCTTACCATGGTGTGTTGGGTCGCAGATCTCGATTCTGGCGCGGAGCCAGCCCGCTCTGGAGACAGCCCGAGTTACCCTCGCGGTGCGTTTACGAGGACCGATATATACGCGATGACGCGATGGAGTACGTAGGCGCTGAGCGCGCATCCCGTGTGCGCTCTCGCGTGCGACGTGACGGACGCCGACGCGATGCTGCATGCGGTCGCGACGGCCAACGCTAACGCTTTCCATGCGCGCGTCACCGACCACGTTGTGTGCAACGCCGGCGTCTCGTTGCCCGGCCTTTTGCTCGACCACGACATGGCGATCACATGGACGTCAACTACTTTGGCGCGCTCACACCATCAAGGTATCAACGTCGCTTGATACATTCTTGAAACACATATGTTGTAGGCGACACTGCCGGCCATGGTCGCGCGCGGCGGTGGCGGCGGGTTCATCTTCATCAACTCGGGCGCGGGCCTCGTGGCGTTTGCGGGCTTTGCCCAGTACGCTGCGTCCAAGTACGCACTGCGCGGGCTCGCCGACGCGCTCCGGTACCGCCGCCTCGTGGTACGCGTATGGCGTTTTTCAATCGCTCCGAGTAGGAACGAACTTGGCTTGTACAAGATGCGCGTGCACTGCTTTTACCCGGGCAGCATCGATACCAAGATGTACGTGGAGGAGCAAGCAACCAAGCCTTCGATGACCAAGGCCATCGAAGGCACCACCGACCTCGTCTCGTACGTCGACGGGTCTGCGTCATATCATCATCAACTCCATGGATGATGGAGTAGGCCGGATGCGGCAGCCGCCAGCCTCATGCGGGGCATTGCCAGAGGTTTGCTACCACGTACATCGTGACGGAGATGGATGTTAGGACTAGGTTCGTACGCCATCACCAACGACATGGGCATTTGGGCAGGTCGCATCATGGGTCAAGGCATCGCGCCGCGCGACTGGGCTTGCTACCTCTTCGAGGTGCTCTGTAGTCCGCTCATCGTGCTCGTCCAAGTCGTCTTTGGCTGGTACATGGACGCTCTCGTGCTGTGCTCGCCGAAGCACGCAACGACCGCGTCTGGCAAGCATGCCTAGGCCTACTTCAACAAATCGAATGCTTGATTCTCTCTATTGGCATGTATTTATCTATCTATTCTATCACGGCGCCTCCGTGCGCTAGACTTCGATCAAGACGTAATCTTCGGTCGCGCCTTCGCCCGCCTCGCACACCGTGACGAGCTGTGCGAGCGGGACTGTCCGGTACAAGTGGCGGCCTTTTCGCTTCCCGCGCACGAGCTTGTACACGATAAGCGTCATGAGCATGGCGACGAGCGCGCCAAGGAAGACGCCCCAGCATGGCAAAAGCGGCGCATCCGGGAGCGCGTGGGACAGCCGAGGCGCGGATGGCAGCGGCGCGGATGTCGCGACGACGTTTGTGTCGAGCGTTGGCGAGCTCTCGTCGACATAGTACTCACGGACCTCGCGGCCCGACGGCGTCGAAGCGAGAAGCGCCGGGATCGACCACATGACGTCGGAAGCAGAAGTGGTCATCCCGGCCGGTGCGAGCCAGCGATCAAAATGGCGCCAACCGGTACGCTTGGCGCCATTTTAAGCCGCCACGTCGCGCTATAAATAGATCGCATGACGTGGCAGTCTCCACGCACGCGCTTTTTCGAAACTTTTTTCGAAGCCTCGCGTCAATCGATGCTTCCCCTTACTTTAAGCGTCGGAGCATCTTGTACGAGTGCGGCGGAAGGTGCTTGGTGATGAAGTGGGCGTGTTTCTGTGTTGGCGCATCGAAGGTCCTCGCGTCTGACTCGGCCTACACTGTATCGGATGCTGCGCAGCTGCTCTCTGATACCCGGCATCGAGAGATGATCGAGACTGGTGCGGAATATTTGTCGCCCGTCTTGGAAGCTCGATGGCAGTATTGGCAGTCGCCGTCTCTGCCGCCGACGGGTCGTTCTGAACCCTCATCTCGGCCGACGAGGTATTGACGGCTTTGGACCACCACCCTCGTGCTTCGAAAGATACCGTCGTGCTAGTAACGGTGGGACAATGCTCTGGCGCTTGACGATTTGTATGGCGATCGGGCAAGGTTACAGCCAGATGGCGCCGGCAGAGTAGCGCGTCTGAGTTGGCTGCGCAACGACGCTCTCATTTTACAAGCCGCGCTTCCTTACGCACCAAATTCCATGGGCTTTCCATCGCTCTCGCTCGCCACCTTTAAGAGCACGCCGTCGTTCAACGAGGTCGTCCACAATGTCGACAAGCTCCGTCGTGCGCTGAGCACGCCGATGGAGGACGCGCGCGTCTCGGCGCTCGACAAGGTCTCGATCCTCTCCAACTATTACACATCGCCCGCGCCCCTGTGCCCGCAGACGCCGCCGGCCTACCAGACCCGCCACACCTTCTAAGCTCGCGCGTCGTTGTCGTCCTCAGTGTTATTTATCGTCGGCTATACCCGTGCAGACTCGCACGAGCGTACTATTCGAGTCGTATAACGTTAACGGCAGTCCATGTCTTGTGTTGTGAGAGTATCGACGACATAAGGCCTCGCCACTGGTCCATGGACCACCGCTGCCAGCGTAGGTAGTCGAGAGATCCAGGACCCCACCGTCGCCCTGCAACCGACCTGCAACAACCATGTCATTTGTGCTCGATATATTCGTGGTACGGCGACCGGCCGCCACGAGGCTTCAACGAAACCGGCTTGTCAAAGCAAAGCTGCCGCATACCACGCGTGTGTTACCAAGAGGTCTATTTGATGTCTTGGTCGAGGAGACCGTTGTAAACGGCCTCGAGGAGCGGGTCGACGAAGCGCTGCCCGGATGCGATCGCGTTGCTCGCAAATAAGAACGCGACGTTGCCTATTGGCACCGCGTGAGCATCCGAGACGCCGATGGTGGAGAGTACGCTGCTGGCCCAAGAAGCGCAGCGCGGCGATTTCGAGCCAGGTGAGGCCGCCGACAACGACCACCAGCACGGTCTTGAACTTGGTCTTCTTGCGCGGCTTGTCCTGCCTCCTTTGAGTATGACATGGCTTCCAGAGTCGTGATTACCGCGTCAGACGTGGAAAAGTGCGCCGACGGACCTGGCAGTTGGTGCAAAAGCTCGGCCATGGGTTCCCACTGCGAAGGACCTACGCAGCGTGTTGGCAGCGAAATGGAAGAGGGCTAGGGTTGCACCGAGCGCGGCGTCCACGAGCTTGACGAGCAGCGGCGTGTAGCCGCCCGAGACGTAGCCCGCGTCGTCCGGGTGCACAACGTCGCCGCCATAGTTGCCGATGCAGCCAAACGCACGCAAGAGGTTGGGCGCGGCTTTCTGCGCTTGGTCTTGCATGCGAAGGAGCCCAACTTGCTCGAGGTTCTCGAACGTATGCAGGTATTCGTAGCCGTAAAACTGCATGATCTGCGTCTTGAGGTGGAAATAGAGTTCCCTCGGAATGCCGTGGTTGACGAGGCTGTGTCTACGTTACCATCGGCGCTTCAACCCATGTGCAGACAGACAAGAAGAGGGCGTACAGAGCCAGAAGACGCAGCACGTGGAGGAGCGGCCCTTGCTTCCAAATGAGCTGCTCAATGTCGCCGAGGCGCGGCTCGCCTTCCATGCTACGGTATATTCTCAGTCGCAGACGAGGCGTGTGCGGACTACATGGCGCGTTCGAGGAGCCAGCGCCGTCGAAAGTCCTTCGAGTTGGTCGTCGCCTGCAGGAGCTGCGACAGCTGCAGATGCTGGTTGAGCAAGCTCTGCTGGTGCTACATCGATACACGTGTCGGCGACGGCTCATAACCTGCCATTTCAGCTACCAAGTGGGCTTGGACCTGGCCCGGAAGATTCGAGATGTCGGTTTTCCACGCTGCTTCGTCGTGCATGGCTTTTTGTAGTGCGGCGTGCTCCTCGGAGATAGCAGCAACTTGGTGCTGCAGCAGCGGCCCCAAGGCTTGAATGTGGACGTTGCGGCAGAGCTCAAAGACGGCATCGTCGCTCGAGAGACTCATGGGCGCCTACAGACGTGTCAACCCACTCGCGGTGGTTCGCTGCACCTGCTGCTGGCCACTCGGAATGGTGTCGTCTAATAGATTCGCGTCCACCTGCACCATGCCGTCGCGGTATGCGAGGACCTCGTCGAGAAGCCCTTCGTAGCTACCATCATCGTCTTAATAAGTACACATGAAGCAGAAGCGGCTTGCGTCAATGGCGTGCTCAGCGGCGCAAAGTAGTCGAGCTTGCGGTCAAAGACCATGAGGCAGTCGATGCGATGCTTCTTGGATTTCGCGGGAGGCGGCACGCCGTTTTGAATGTGGAGGGATGCGAGGTGCTTCCATAGCGCGTGGGCGAGGTTGCCCTTGTAAAAGATGTGGTCAATCTTGCCGAGCGTCACCTCGAGTTGGTACAGCGCATGCGCCATCGTCCTACATACAGTATTACATTGCGATATCGTGTTTCGAAATGCGTTGTACGCAAGGCTCGTCTTGTTGCTGCCCAAGTAGCACTCGCGCAAGAGCGTGTCCGACCCCATCGTGAGCACGTCGCTGTCGAGCGGAATGAACCCGAGTGGGAAGAGGGCGAGCGTCAACTGCACGACGTCGGCCGTGCGTTCTTGGGCCAGCACCGTTGCGCAGAGCGCGTTCCAGGGGCCTACACAAAGGCTCGTCGATACGACAAGAGGGGACAGAGATGACGGGACCGGCGTGCAAGATGTGAACGACGAGCGGCGGTGCGCCTTTCGGCTGGTGCTCGACGACGCTCGCGATGCGTCGCGCGACAAGGTACACTTGCGCCACGAGGGGCTGCACAATAAAGACGAGGGCGCTGCCTGCACTGTGCTCGCTGCCGACGTGGCTGTCGAGCGCGTGGATTTCGGCGACCCGAAGTGCTTTGAGCCGGTCGGACCCGAGCGTCGAGAAGTGCTGGAAGAGGCCCCAGAGCCGCGGCGACAGGACGACCTCGATGCTGCGCGCCTGCACGGCAAGCAGCAGCGCATCGAGTGCGTCCGACGAGGCGTCGCGGAGCCGGGCGAGCGCGAACCGACTCGTGTCCAGCGTGCTTGCGTGGGCCATGTATGATGATGCTTGCGTCGTTTCCAAAGATTGCAACAGCAAACTGAAAAGGCAACCTCGCAACCTCAAAATGCAAACTCAATTTCCAAATTGCACTTGTTATCATTCAAGAGGCAAGCATACTGGTATGGGCTGAAACACGCAGTGAGCATCGGCGCATGGCGCGTTGGGATGCGCGTCGCACAAGTACGTGGCCACGTCATGGTGCCCATGGGCTCTGGCGGCCGGGATGGCAATCAAGATACAGGCCATCGACGCGTGCTGAACCAGATACGCGACCACATCCAGGTGCCCGTTCTGCGCTGCGAACGTCAGCGCCAGGTGCGTGCAGCCCTCGTGGCGGCCTTGCAGGAGAAATGCGACAACGTTGATGTGGCCGTTCCGAGCTGCATAGTCGACCGCGTTCGTCGAGCAGCCGTCGTGTCGGTGGTCGTGGAGGAAGCGTACGATCGAGAGATGGCCATTCATGGCGGCGTGGTCCAGCGTGTAGCGCAAGCAGCCCTCGGACCGTGTCGCGTGCAAGAATTGGACGACGTCGTCATGGCCGTTGCGCGCTGCGGCGTCCATGGCATACGCCGTGCATCCCGATGCACCGTGGACGCTGAGGTAGCGCACGAGCTCCAACTGCCCATGGCTTGCTGCCATGTCCATGAGCACGACCGAGTCGGCGATGGGCCAGCACGCCAAGAGCCGCTGCAGCCAGTGCAGGCCAGCGTAGTGCAGTAGGAGCCACGCAGCGCGCTGGTTGGCGTTCTTGAAGCGCTTCCAAGCACCGAAGTGCGGCAGCAGCTCTTCAAAGACGCCGTCTTGGTACGCTAGCACGATGCGCAGGAGCTCATCTTGGCGCAGGACGGTCGAAGACATGGAGCGTCTCGAAATGGTATCTTGTGACCATCTTGAATTAAAAGAATTTTCTTTTTCGCTCTTTAACGAAAAAAGACATTAAAAGACAGCCAACGGTCGCGTCATCATCGGCGCGACGGTAGATTGTTGGTGGTGCGGCGTTGACGCATTTCTAGAGCAAGCTGAGATCGCTAAAGAGATTTCACGCTGGTCGTAGCATTTGGCACTGTGTAGGTCGCTTATTGCACTGCCAGCGCAGGGCGTGCGGCTCTGCGGTCGCCCCGTTGCAATAAAGAATGGAAATGGTTTAAAGAATCATTTCTTTTATCACACGCAATCGATTGCTCCAACCGGAATCAACCGGCTTGCTTTAACCGGATTCTATCCGGACTCACGCAACGTGACCATGAAGCTGGTGAGGCTTGCGGCGGAGACGACCATGGCCTCATGCCTACGCTGTAGATTCAACTGGGCCGCGCCGAGGATGGCGTCAACTCGTTCCTTGTGACCATGTCTGGGCGCCAGGTGCTTCTGGACTGCGGCTTGAATATGAAGGCGCTTGCCCACCTGCCTGTTGACGGGCCGTGCCGCTACTACGCGCCGAGCCTGCACGCCGTGGACGCCGAAGCCATTGACTGCGTTGTCGTCTCGAACCACTGGAGCTTCCTCGGTCTGCCGCTGCTCACCGAACGCTCGGCCTTCCGCGTACGTGGTGTTTCGATGCAAGGCCGTGAGCGCACAACCTAGGGCGCGATCTACGCGACGGAGCCGTGCGTGCGCTTTGGCCGGCTCCTCTTGCTGGAGATGCTCGAGCTGCTCGAGCGCAAGCGCAAGCTCTCGGGCCATGCGTCCAAGGCGTGGCTCTCGCGCTCCAACATTAAAGATCTGCCGGGCGCCGAGCAAACCCGACTCCTGGTATACATCACGTGCGCCTGCAGTCTCCTCATGCTGCGCAGGATCTCGAGTTTGACAAGTGGGTCGAGCCGTACACGCGCCACGAGATCGAGCGCTGCCTCGACCGCATCACCTACGTCACGTACAACGCGGTGTGTACCTCCACCTCATCATCCCACGTCCCATCATGCTCTCGTAGACGATCGCCTTTGCGTATGAGCTCAAGATCACAGCCGTGAGCTCGGGCTACGCGCTCGGGTCGAGCGCGTGGATCCTCGAGAGTGCGATGGAAAACCTGGTTCGCACGCAACTCAATGCGAGTGTCTCGGGCTCACGCTGGGCGTAGGCGTACGTGCCAACGGCGGCGTCCGAAATCCGCCACTCGACGCCGCTCGACCTTCACAAGCTCAAGGTACGTCGACATGTTACGATCGTATCTCGACATGGGCTAGGACTGCGATGTCTTGCTTCTCTCGGACCTCAAGGTCGATCGGAGTCCGCTCGTGGACACGGTGATTCAGATCGAAGCGTTCATGAACCATGCGCTGCGGGTGTATGCTCGCGGCGGCTCGAGTCTCGTGCCATGCCCCCTCGACGGCGTCTTTTTCGAACTCTTGGAGAACTGGGAGCTCTTCCTGCGCTCGCGTCAGCACGCGCCGATCCCTGTGTACGTCGTGTCACCGACGGGCGACGCCGTGTGCGACGCCGTCTTTGGTCCGCAGTGGCTCTGCAACGCCAAGATCACCAAGGTAGATCGAGATTCGCTCCACTTGGCTATTGTAGTCTTGGCGCGACCTAGATCTTTGCAGGCGAACCTGCCTTTGCCCACACTGCGATGCGTGAATCGGGCCAGTTGCGCGTGCTGCCTTACGTCTCGTCCGCGCTCGTCCAGGCATTCGAGGTGCTTGGTCCTCGCTGATACCGTTGCAATCGATCGCGTAGGAACCGAGCCTCATCTTTATGACCGACCCGTCGTTTCGACTGGGCGATGCGGCGCTGCTGCTGCGGCAGCTCGAAGCCCGCGGCGGGGCAGTCATTGGCATTGACCCGCACGTCTCCCTTGGCTATGCGCTCGCCCCGTACCAGCCGCTGCACAACGTCGAGGTCATTGCGGCGCCGATCGATATGCGTCTTTCGTGCAACGACGCGAATACGCTGGTGACCCAGTGCTTGCCGCAGCACCTTCTCGTCCCCGAGTGCTTTACGTGGTGCGTCCCACAAGCTCGATCCAACGACCATTGGACCTTTGTCCTGTAGGAAGCACCACGAGCACGAACAGTCGGTGCGGCGGCTCCACGAGCTCATTCCGGCACGGCTGCATACGGCCACGACCTTGCTCCGACAACTCGAGCCCGTGGTCGTGCTCAAAGCACCCAAGAAGAATTTTGACGCGGTGCTGGACCCCAAGGTAGAGACAATACAACACTCCGTATGAGCGTCGAGCCTCTGCGTGTAGCTGGCGGCGCAGACCACGATGACGTTGATCGAGAAGAATGCCGCGGCGCTGGTCCAGACCAAGATTCAGATCACGCCCGACGAGTGTGTGCTCGTGCCTGTACCGTTTAGCAATGTGCCTGCAGCCATTGGCGGCGACCGCGCGACCAAGCGGCTCTGCGTGCGCGAGCTCTCCAACGTGTGCGTCGGCGAGCTCAACACGGACGTGCTTGTCCAGGACTTGGCGGTGCGCCTTGTACTCTCCATATCTATCCATCTATCCATGGTTCGACTAGGCGAGGTTTGGCAACATCAAGAGCGAGTACCAAGGCGACTTGGTGATCCTCTCGACCGGCGCCTCTAACGACGCGCTCGTCACATATGCGCGTCACGAAAACAAAACGACGATCACAGCGTCCAATGACAGTGACCGCGACGCTGTCCGCGACATGATTCTCGGTCAATTGGCCGTCCTTCCGTACTGATGCCATAAACAACCAATTCCATCGTGCTAGGGCTCGGGGATGCGAGGGCTAGGCGTTAACGTGTCGGTTTCCCAGGGCTAGGGTTGGCAACAGGCAAACCCATATTTTGAGACGCTTGCATTATGACATGGGGAACAGCTGCCGAAGCACTCAAGCCTCCAAGTCCACTGCCCCACATCTTTGATAGCGTATACGAGTCGACGACACAAACAACTAGGGACTATGCGAGGTGGGCGTAGACTTCGGCCATGCTCGGGCGCGCTGTCGGGTCGGCCGCAAAACACCGAGCGATCAGATCCAACTGCGCCTCTGGAATGTGCACGTCGGCGAGCGGGAGCCGGTCGCCTTCGCAGACGCGGACCGCGACGTCGCGTGCGTGCTGGCCATCGAACGGCTTGGCGCCGCTGTACACCTCCCACATGGTCACGCCAAACGAAAAGACATCCGAGGCCGACGAAAACACGTGGGGTGGCGCGAGGCTCTCGGGCGCCATCCACTTGAGGGGGCCGACGCTCATGCTCGCATCGAGCACCGCGCCGCGCCGCGCGAGGCCAAAGTCGGCGATTTTGACGCGCCCGTTAACGTCGACGAGGCAGTTGCGCGCGGCCATGTCTCGGTGCAAGAACGCATTGTTGTGCAGGTGCAGCAGCCCGTTGGCGGCGTCGCGGAGCATGCTCGTGCGCACCGACGACGGGTACATGGTCGAAGCCGACGGCGAGGCAACGACGCCCGCGAGCGACCCCAGCGGCATGTACTCGGTCACGATGGCGAGCGGCGCCGAGGGATCGGTGCACGCGCCGACAAAGGGAACCACGCACGGGTGGTGCCCGAGAAGCGCCGAGACGGCTGCTTCGTGCTGCAGCGCCGCCACCTAGTGTGCATGTCACGCCGTGTTCCACCGCGTTCTGCGTACGTCGTCGGCCGTCTGACGCAGTGTCTTGACAACGACGTCACGACCAGCATACGTGGCGAGATACGCGTCGCCAAAGAAGCCCGCGCCGATCCAGCGCTTCATGTGCAGCTCGGAAAAGGGGATTTCCTTGTAGCTACCGACCACGAGTAGAATGACATATTGCTTGGTAGTCTGGACTGTCGTACCTGGACGGCAGCGCCTCGAGACGGTCGCTGACAGGCGTCAAGCGATACCACTCGTCTTGACACTGCACGTGCTTGGAGACATTAGGACCGACGACGAGAGTGCAGTGGAGGACGCCAGCAAAGTCATTGGCCACGACCGTCACCACCACCGTGTGCGGCGTCCGCGGCATGGACGCGTGCATTTCGCAAAAGATCGGAAACCTTATGTGCTCGAGTTTGCCTGTCCAGACAAACGTAGTGTGCGCGGCGTCCAAGAGCCGAAATCCGTCTGGGACCGTGGCCGAGATGGTCACGTGCGTGCCCTTGGTCAGCGGCAGGTCGATCGTCCGCGTCACCTTGCGGCTCTCCGCGTCGTGTGTGTGTGCGACCTCGACGATGTCCGCAGCGTCGCGCCCGCCAAAGCAGTAGATGCTCAAGTCGAACGCGGCGCCCATGGCAATGCGCCGTGGCGCGTATGCTGTAAACTGCGGCGGGTCGTCGAGGCCTCGAAAGACCTGGTCCGAAGTCGCCGACGAAATCGACGACGGCAGCGACCGGTGCCGGACGTCGGGCGTCGGCGGTGGACTGAGCACGTCGTAGCGCCGGCCGTGGCGTTGCAAGATCGAGTCGCAGAGCGCCTGAAAGTCCTCTTCTTCGCTCGACGACGACTGCTGCGACGCCCGGCGCTCGAGCTGCGTGACCATTGGGACCATGTGGCGTGATGTGCGTGCTTGCAGCAGCATCTCGTCGTCGGTCGGTGCAGACGGCATGCAGACCATCGGCGGCTGCAGTCGGTGCGCAGGTGGTGCGAGCATGATGCTGGTGGGATTATCATTCGTGCTCATGCTGTGCAAGTAGACAGTCGCCGCTTTCGGCACTGGTGACGTGGGTGAGGCGGTCGCAGAGGTCGCCGGCGACGACGACGTCGCAACGACATACTGCGGTAGGTGCGACGTAGAGAGCGTGCACGTGTCGGCGACTGCACTCGCCCACGCATGCATGGTTGCGCTGTACGCACTGCTCACGCTGTGATCATCGGACAACTTGGGCTCGGCCATATCGAGGTAGACATGGCCGGACGCCACAATGTCTTCGTGGCTTGGTGTTCGTGGCGTCTGTGGCACCATTGGGCGTCCACGCATGTGCGCCCACGCGGTCGCAAAGGGCACATAGAAGCGGTAGCCCACGAGGCGCGAGGAGAGGATGGCTGCGGCGAGGCCCAAGAGAAGCAAGGCCAACTCGAAGGCGACGCTGCCGGCATCCAGAGGACCGGTGGCGAGGAGGTAGATGACATTTGCGGACGCGGCTGCAGCGACCAGCGGCGGCGCAGCGCAGATGACATCCAGAAGATTGACCACGCCAAAGTACACGAAGCCGTACGTGACGTTGGCGTGCACGGGCAGCGCCTCAAAGGCACAGTAATGACGTGGCCGCACGAGAAGCCGCAGTAGCCGCCACTCGGTCGCCCACAAGGCGCGCAGCAGGCTCAGATGCATGCGGCGGTAGGTTGCACTCGGAAGCAGCAGCGTGATGGCGGTCGAGATGGACACGACGGGCGCGGCCACGAGCGCGACGGCGGCGCTGAGCAAAAGACCTGCGAACGCGCGGAGCGCGCCTTCGCGTAGCGGGTCGGGCGGCGCCGCGTCGATGGCTTCGTCGATCGCGAGCGTCTGCATGGTGCAATCAAAATCAATGCTTCTTTCTTCGACGCTCGAATCCTTCGACCAAATGAGTTTCGATTACATTACCAATGTTCCTATGACCATACTGAAATCAAGAGAGGCAGGTGCTGCTGGGTTGTATTTAAGTGGTAATAGCTCCTGAGGGCGCAAGCGTAATCGATTGCAGGAGAAAGGATCGAAGCGACGTCCTCCGCGCCATCGTTCTGCGCCGAGTGCCATGGCTTGTCGTGCGTTGGTCCGTGCTCCAGAGTGTTTGGATGACGAACCGCGCCATAAACAGGAGAACCGGATATGCGCGACGAACCGGTTCCACATGGCAACCGTCAGGTCAACGGGTGTGGTGGTCCTAGCCATGTGCACAGTATTGTCAACGACGGCGCTCGGATGTACACGCTGGTGTGCGATTGAATCAAGAAGAAAATTCCCGCCACCAAGTGCGATAGTTGCGTGCCGTAGGACCATAGTACCTGTCAGTCTACAGGCATTGAACCACGTCGTGCTCCCAGCGACACTGCTGACATACCCGGTACCGCGAATGCGCCAGGACATCGAACATGATCCCAACATCCACGCGCGCACGTCACCCTTGTCAAGCACCGACTTGTTGATGCCGATGTCAACGCCAATGGGAAAGAGAAGAAAGGGACAGCACGTACAGGGCTGTCCCTTTCAGGGCTCGAACCCCGCACCTCCTGCATGTGATGCAGGAGCCTACGGACTGGACAAAAGGTGGTTTAGTAAGTGCCATCTGCATCTTGACAAGCGTCAACTGCGTGCATGTAAATCATATGTTTTCGTACGTTGCCGATCTGTGCCCCGGTGCCAACCGATGCGCGTTGGTTGTGTACACAGTACGCACAAATATCTTCTCTTGTACATGCACCAGTCGCGCTTCTTTGAGCAACGCCGGGCCACATACAGTCATCATGGGGTGGCGACTGGGAGCGTCAACGGACCGCGTTGGTGGTGGATGCCGATGGAGTGCGTAACAACCGTGGCTACAGTAATCGCACCCGCTACCGACATTCGAGAGTATTGCGTCGCTGCTGTCTTTTTTGCTCACTCTTGCATTTGCTTTTCTTCGACATGTGCGGCATCGTTGCGTACTTGGACCTCAACGGCGGGTCCACCACGCCCGTGGACTTGACTGCTGCCCTCGACCTGCTGCACCACCGCGGCCCCGACGGCCAAGGCGTCTGGCACGACGCGTCCGTCGGTCTCGGCCACGTGCGCCTCTCGATCATGGACGTGGCGCACGGTCAGCAGCCGCTTCACGCCAGCGGTGTCCACGCCGTAATCAACGGCGAGTTTTACGACTTTGAAGCGATTCGTGACGACCTCTGCGCGCGCGGCCACGTCTTCTCGACGCAGAGCGACTCGGAGATTCTCGTGCATCTCTACCACGAGTATGGTCTCAACTGCGTCGATCACCTCCTTGGCGAGTTTGCTTTTGTGCTCTGGGACGCCAACTTGCAGCGTCTTTTGGTCGGTCGCGACCGGCACGGAATCAAGCCTCTCTTCTACACGCAGTTTGACAACAAGCTCGTGATTGCGAGCGAGGCCAAGGCTTTTCTTGGACTCGGGTGGCAGCCGCAGTGGGACGTCCACTCGATCGTCAACAGCGGGCACTACGCTGATGACCGCACGATCTTCAAGGGCGTCTCCAAGATCCCGCCGGGACAAATTCTCACGGCGACGCCGTCCGGCTCCATCAAGCTTGAGCGCTACTTCAGCCCGTCGTTTCCCGATCGCAACATTGAGGATCCCCGCTCGATCGAGGAAATGGTCGACGGCGTCCGGACGCGTCTCGTGGACGCCGTGCGCGCGCGCCTCCGAAGCGACGTGCCCGTGGCCGTCTACCTCAGGTACCAAACTCTGTCGACGATGCATCATCTTACGGTATGCTTGTCGATAGCGGCGGCATCGACTCGTCTGCGGTTCTTGGTGTCGCCTCGAGCATCTTGCGTGAGACCGACCCGGACGCACGCATGGATGTCTTTACGATCGCGTTCTCGGACAAGGTGCGATAACGCCCTCTCTTGATAGCGTCATCGTGACAGATCATCATCCCTTTCTGCACTAGGAAATCGATGGTGTCAAGTACAACGAGAGCGATGTCGCGGCACGAACGGCCGAGTTTGTGCAAGCCAACTCGCACGTGCTCCACGTCACGCAGGAGGACCTCACGGGTGCCTTTGAAGACGCCGTGTGGCATTGGGAAGCCGCCATGAACGACTTTAACGGCGCGGCCAAGTTTTTGCTCTCTCGCTACGTCCGCGATGCGGGCTACAAGGTGGTGCTCACAGGTCTGTGATTGCAGTGATTTGGATGGTTTGCTTATGCGTGGTCTAGGCGAGGGCTCGGACGAGCACTTTGCCGGCTACACCATGTTCTATCCCGACCTCTTCCGCATGGACACGACACCGCCCGCGATCCCGCGTCCCATGCGCGAGAAGATCCTCGCGACGATCGAGTCGGCCGACGAAAAGATGTGGAGCGGTATCGGGAGTCTCCAGTTCTCGTACACGGACTGCGTGAAGGAGCGCGCGCTCCTGAGCGGTCTTAGCATCCATCGCATGCTGGCGACGATCGCGGGGCTGCCCGCGGATTTGTACAAAGCTCCGCTCAACACGATCTCGAACCCGACGCAAGCGTTTGCAGCCGCGCTGTCGGGCGAAGAGCGCAAGCTCGCAGCGACCAAGTGGCACCCGCTCCACACAGCGCTGTGCCTCGAGACGCGCTGTGTGTTGCCCAACATGCTCTGCAACCAGCTCGGCGACCGAAGTGAGATGGCGCACTCGATCGAGGGCCGCGTTCCGTTCTTGGACCACCGGCTCACGACGTACGTCAACGACTTGCCGCCCCAAGTGAAGCTCCACGTCGACCCGGTGACGGGCAAGATCACCGAAAAGTGGATCTTGCGCCAAGCCATGCGTCCGTACATCACGGACGAGCTCTACACGATTGCGAAGAAGCCGTTCTTTGCGCCGCCGGCCCAGTTTGACCCGGACTGCGTCCAGTGGCAGTTTCTGAGCCGCCACATTACGCGCGAGGCGGTCGAGAACCTCGGCTGGATGAACTGGGCGTTCGTCGAACAAACGATCGCCGACTACAAGGGCGACAACGTCCGCCGCGCGCAAAACATTCTCAACGTCGTCGCGTCGTTCATCGTGCTGAGCCAAAAGTTTGACATTCCGACGTACGTTCCGCCGTCCCCGTAACCAATTCCATCAACACGACGCCGTTGGAAGCAATGATTTGTGATTTCAATGGGCGGCATCGCCTAATCGTACAGCAGAAACACACCTTGGATCCAGTAGGACAAGTTCTGCACGTCCAACGACGAGTCGCCGTGTCGGGTAGTAGTACAAGTCCAACTGCAATCAGACAACTTGTTCACATTCATCACTCGTCGCCTAGAGCACGGCGCGGCACGTGGGGCAGTTGACAACCGCCTCCCGGCGGATGCAGGACGCCTTCCATTCCGAGAGACACGCCGTGTGGATCTCATGTCGACAGGGCTGCACGCGTTCCGTGGGCGCCACGCAGAGGGCTTCGCAGCACACCGCGCACTCGTCACTGCCGTCGTTGCGTCGCACAGAAAAGACGAGGCTGAGCCAGAGCACCCGCCGGCTCTTCTCGTCAAATGCCATATACTCGTTGCCATCGACGACCGCCCACGGGCTGCTCACATGCATGCGCGACGGATGCTGGACGCCTTCAAAGCGCCAGAGGCACTTGAAAAACCCAACGCTGCGGGCCACGACTAACGACGCGCACATCGGACACGCCACTTGGTGCTGGAGCAAGTTGAACGGCGCAAACTTTCGGGGCACAATGACCCACTCGTGGTAGGCCACGCACGTCGCGTTCGTACACACGCCGTGGACGTTCAAGCCCGTGCAAAACCGCCGCCAGGCCGGCGCCGACGGGCTCTGCTGCAGCACGCTACACAGCTCCTCGTTGGCCACGTCCACAAACTCAGCCGCGGCGCCACCGCCGCACAAGACGAGCTCGGCCACCAGCGTCGCGTCGTTGCAAAGCCCGTAGCTGCCGACCGTGCGCGAGTCCCAGAGCGTGCGACGACGCAGCGTCAGTCGCTGAAACGGGCAGCGCGAGACCGCGCGGATCCGGGCCTTGAGCGTTGCAATCGTCTCGTCCGGGTGCGCTTGGAGACTGAGGTGGCCCGTTGGGAGCGCAATAAAGAGCGTCATGGACGCTGGCGACGACGTAAACACAAACACCCAGCGCGGGTTGCTCGTGCGAAGGGCCGGGAGGTACGGCTGCAGCGTCTCGGTCGCGTGCAAGCTCTGACCGTACAGCTTGAGCGCCGACGACGTGCAAGGCCCGAGACGCAGAGACCCTTCGAGGTGTTGCGCGACGTCGCGGACCGTCAAAACTGTGCCCAGCACCTCGGGCGGTAGCGAGACGGTGCGGTGGATGCGCTTCGAGGTACCGTCGACGCAAATCACGTCCATCATCTGGCAACGTCGGCACGAATTGGACTCTGCTCTCCACGCCGTTGACCAAAGAACACAAAAACGCGACGCGCCAACGGTCTATTCTCTCGCGGGACAGGGAGGACGGACGATGTATATAGTGATGAATCGATCGGGTGCAATACCAGCGCCTCGGCCCATCCAGGCCTGTTCACCACTGCTACAGTGCCAATGGGGCGTGCACGCAGAGTTTTATCGCCGCTCCTCCCAGACGCCGTCACAATTGGCCATCGTCTTCCAAACCGATCTACTTACATCATGTTCTGCGTGCTGGCAAAAAGTGCCTCGCCCGAGATACTTCAATTTCCGTGGTCAGAGCGCGGAAATCGGGGGCCACCACCCCAAAAGGGGCTGGTGGGTAGCTTTGAACGAGGTGCTTGCTACCCAGGGCTTTGAGCTTGAACAACGAATGGAAATGAACGTGGAGGCAGTTGTGGCGACAACGAAATCGCTGTCCGGCCAGTTGCTCAAGTTGGTGCACTTGGCCTTGATCCAAAACACAGCTTGCTGCGTACCTAACCTGTCTGGCGTTCAGGATGAAAACTCGCTAGCCAACACGACCATATACTTCCTTGCATTGACACGAATAAAACATAAGGATAAAGCGGCAACACCTTCTGGCGTCGATCTCCTGGTCCGACCTACTTGACGTAGGCGGTGCGGCAGCTCGGGCAGCTCGGGCGGCGGTTGCGCAGCGCACACATGCGCGCCCACTCGGTTGCGCAGGCAACGTGAAACGTGTGCTTGCAGCGCGGCAGCTTGCGGGTTGCGCCACTCGCCAGCGGTTCGCAGCACACCGCGCAGTCGTCGGCCTTCTCGAGCGGCTTGGCAATGAGCACGAGGCTCTGCCACTGCACAATGTCGTCCACGCAGTGGGCAAACTGGTGGTAGCGCCCGCCCGCCGCCTCGGCCCACTCGCTGCTCATGTGCATCTTGGTCGCCGCCGCAATGCCCTCAAACCGCCACAGACAGTCGTGAAAGCCGCACGTGACCGCCTGCACGGGCGCGACACACATCGGGCACTTGGCTTGGTGCACGAGCAGGTTGAAGGGCTGCATCCCCTGGGGCATAATCACCCACGTGTCGTAGGCGGGACAGGTTGGCGTCATGCACACACCGTGAACGTTGAGCTGTGCTGCACTGGTGCCACGCCGGCGCCGCCGTCGCAAACTCGACCGTCTCCAGGAGCTTGTTGTCGCCCAAATTGACAAAAGGGCGCGACTCGAGGACCGACGTCGAGGGACCTCCGACGCTGCCCCCGCGCAAGCGCGGCAGCTCCGTCAGCGTCGCGTATTGCGGCAGTCCATAGTCGCCAATGGTTGCCGCGTCCCGTAGCTCCCGGCTGCAGTAGCTGAGCCGGTCGACGACGTAGCCGCCACCAATCTTGCGCGCAATGCGGCGCTTGAGCTCGGCCATCGAGTAGGCTGGTGTCGCCGTCACTGTCACCGTGTAGCCCGACATCGTCTTGACAAACAGCTGCATCGATGTCGATGTCGGCACAATGAACGCGAGGACCCAGCGTGCCGTCTGCGTGCGAAGCGTGGGCTCATACGGCGCCACGGCCGCCTGCCGCGGGAGGCTGATGCCGTACAGCTTGAGGTTGGCTTCGGCCCCGGGAGCGAGACGCGCCAGGCGCGCGAGTGCGGCCGTAAACTGGGCAACCGTGCCGCCCAATGCGACCACGTCCGCTTCGTCCAGGTGCAGCATGCCGTCGAGCGTGGTCACTGACGTTTGGTTCACGAGCACAACGTCCATGATGCGCGGAATCCAATCAAAAGGGAAATGAATGACCCCCACCGACGGCCACGCCCACCTAAACCGTTGGGTGGTCGGTAGCGAAGTCGCCGTTGGCGCTGCATTCCGAAACAGGGCGACCTCTGTCCCACGCGACGCATCTCTGAAATGTCCTTTCTCGCACCAACGGCAAAGTGCTTGTCCCACGTCCGTCACCACATCTGCAGATGGCTACAACTGCCCGTGGTTGTGTCGCGGGCGGTACTCCCTTTCATGGGATTTCCATCGATGCTGAATTTGTCGTTGGAATGGCTAATTCTAGCTTGAATTTCGGCTCGTCGATGCGATGCCTTTTCGATCCACGACGGCATACGACTGGCAAGGCTGGCTGTCGTTCTAATCCGTCACCTCGCGATATAGCATGCGCCTTGTCACCGCTCCCACGGTAGCCCTCACAACACTGCGACAAAACCAAAGAAAAAGGGCTGCTAAAGTTATAGCATCGCTGGGGCGCCTAACGTTCCGGTGCCCGGGTTGTGTTTTGGGCATCCGGCGCACCGACAGGCGTCGCCGCAGGTGCACTCGCGGCCAAACGTCATACCGCAGCCAGGCACGGACCACCCAACGGCGAGCGCAGCAGTGTGCGCCATTGTCGTTCGGTATTTTGGACATCCGCTCTCCCCGCAGCCAAAGTCACACACGTGGTCGTCGTCGCCGACCGAGCTGCGCCGGGCTTGAAGCATCGGCGTGAGCTTGAGGCCGTACGTTGTTGATACGACCGCGACTTCGTTGGCGTCGAACACGCCGACGAGAATGACTTCGCTTGGGTTTTGATCGAGGAGCAGCACGATTTGCTCGACGCCCTCAATGTGCTCCAAGACCGACTGGAGCAAGACACCGGTTTGGCCAAACGTGATCAACTGGCCGTGGGTGAGCTCCACCGCGTACCTAAAAGATCCTGTCAGATATCATTCTCTTTTTGCTTGTACAAGGGACGGACCGGACACGTGGCGGCACTGGCATCATGGAGATTTTCGAGGCCGAGAACCCGATCGCTTCGATGCACTGCAGAAACGAGCTCGTGTTGCCGTCGATGCTGTGGACGATGAGGTGTCGCTTCTCGAAATCAATGTCGGCGCGCTGGACGTGCGGCATGGCACGCACGGCGTTGAGGACCGTCGTACCGCAGTTGCCCATGCACATCATGCCGTCGACATGGAAGGTCCATTCAAGCGTTAGTATGACATCGTCAATGAGCCCTTCTTCCAACACGACGAACGGGCACTGGAGGGGCGCGAGAAGGCTATGGACATCGACCGACGTCATGGATCCACGTAGAATGAAGCATGCGCTCGAGTTGTGGCGCGAGACGCCGTAGCGGAAGCCGAGGACATGCGCACTGCGGACACTCGGGAGGCTGCGCAGCAGGGCGAGGCACACCTCGTCGCGCCAGATGCTGGTGTGGTGCGGGATTTGCAGCAGCATGCGGCGATAAATATACGACGACGCCGAGGTATTCGTCGTCGTCGTCATTGAGACCTTGGGCAGCGCCGGCGCAAACAAAATGGTCTCCAAGTGCGTCACTCGCGCGAACGACGCCGTCTCGGGGTGTAGATGCGGTGTCAGCGACTGGTCACTGGAAGGCGCCACGGTCTCCTAGCGCAGCATTAGCCATCGCGATCCAGAGGGATGAAGCAAGCAGCGTACGCTTTGATGCTCCATGCAAAAGCCGTCGCGACCGCGGGCAATGCGGCGGCAGTTGGGGGCGCGGCACATGGCCGGACCGCCGTGGTCGGGGCACTTGCCGTTCGCGCCACGGCCCATCTTGGTGCAGTCGGGCTCGGTGCAGCGCTTGCCACCGCCGTGAGCGCGGCAGTAGCCGCCGCCCTGTGAGTTTTTCTCGCAGCCGGCATGACTACAGCGCTTACCGCCGCCGTGCATCGTACAAAAGCCACCACCGACGTCAGCCTTTTGACAATTGGGCTCAGTGCAGCGCTTGCCGCCGCCGTGACCGCGGCAGAGACCGCCACCGGCGTCCACTTTGTGGCACTCGGGCACGGTGCAGCGCGAGCCGCCGCCGTGCTTGCGGCAGTAGCCGCCTCGCTGGTAGCCGTTGGTGCAGCCTTCGTGGCGACACTTCTTGCCGCCGCCATGACCCACGCAGAGACCGCCGCCCGCGTCGACCTTGTCGCAGCCACCGGGGTGCGTGCAGGCGCGGCGCGGTAGAACCATCGGCGCGTTCAACAATTGCCGAGTATAAATACCCCAATTCTCCGAGAACGAATCATTTGCGGCTTGTACGCCAAAGGACCTGCGAAAACGCATATTTTTCATAAAATTACGGAGGTCTGAACCCGCCGCTGACCGACGGTCGAATTCCTCGACTTTTTGCTCACGTGCGCTGAGGTGATAACGGTATTACCTGTTTATGAAGGTAATCTACTGGCTATCTTTCCGGCGCCTCGTTGCGGCTTCTCGTCGAGAATGCGCGCTTCTCGGAGAGAATGCCCGCATCACGCATTCCACGTCATTTGCTGCTGTCACGCATTCCACGTCATTTGCTGCTGTTATGCATTCCACGTCATTTGCTGCTGCTACTATGATAGAATCGACGATTAAAACACACAAAAGCGCCACCTACGATCGCGCCTCCTAGATCTACTTCGCAGTGCATAGAACCAGGCATCCGTGGCAATCGCGGGATATATGCCGGTTCCCCTATGCCATCGTTTCCCGGTTCCCCACAGCTCAGTCCTAAACCCATCCGCTGGGAATGATTATAAACCACTTGATGCCGTCGAGAGAGGCTATCCTCGTCGATATTGCCAGCGGTGTCCGCACTTGATTCTTGTCAGGTATAGATTTCATTCGACTATACCCTTGCTCCTTCAGATTGATGCAAACTGCAACCTGCGTTTCCACGTGGCAACGGCGCGGCCATCTTTTTTAATGTTATTTAACATCGAATAGAAGGGAGCGATTTGTGTTTGTCCCTGTTCTCCCGGATGACAAGGTTTGTCCCAAACGTATCCGGACAATTCAAACCTGGTTTCGAAATTTGCGGGATGGACACCGCGGGGAGCGACGACGAGACGTACTCGATCACGTCGCAGCCATGTACGTCCATGAGCATCCATGCCGATGCTAGCGGAAAGAGGCTCATGGAGCCATCTTGTAGGGGGCGACCTGCATGAGTTCTACCCCAAGGTACAGCCCGCAGAGACACCGCAAACGACCTCATGTCTGTAGACGATCGCACCGTCCGTGCCGCTGACCGGCGACCTCGCCGAGCTACATTCGTTCCTGGTCGGCCAGCGCCCAGCCCAAGACTTTGGCCTTCGAACTCGTGGAGGTACAAAGCTCCGTATCGGGCGCTGCGACGCCAACGTCCTGTAGGCGTCATCGTCCAAAAGGCCATCGAGAGCAAGCTGCGCGAGCTCGAGAATCTCAACTTCCGCCTCTACTTGGACGAAGGTACTCGAACGAGCTAGTATGCATGAAGCAAATTGCGAAATCTTTACAGGGCGCGAGATGCAGAAAGGCCAGGAGCTTCAGATTTTGTCCATGACCTGCTTGCCGCAAGCGTCCAAGCCCGAGCCGCCGACGCGAAAAGCCAAGGCGACCGTCGATGTGGTCAATAGGCGTCGCGCCAAGAAGCCTCGGCGACCGTCTGCGTAACATAGTACACATCAAATACAGGACGGCGCGCTATGCTATGACACGACCGCTCTTGGATGCGATCCTCGATCCTCGAGACCCAATAGGACTGCCGTTGGCTGCGTGATTGGTTTTACCATTCGATTAGCTACTTAAAGAGCGCATATCAACGTCACTTTGCCGGGGTTTCACCGGACGCTTTACAGAACAAGTAGACGACGCATAAGTGGGTGACGGACATGAGCAGTCGACGATTTCAATGGTTTCCAAGATGCTGCGGTGCGCGGTGCAGCCCCGCGCTGCGCCATCTGTACGTTCATGTTTGCTTGCATCAAAACGCTCGATTGCCGCGACTGTAGTCGGCGGGGGGCTCGGCCATGGCAACAATGACGATCACCAATGGCGCCGCGGTGTCGGGCAGATTGCATGACCAGAGTCAAGCGTCGTACCTCGCTGCCTACGCCCGTGTCGCCTCCAACTTGGTGGCTGGCTGTCTCATTCTTCTTTCGCTCTTGACGCTCTCCGTGCTCGTGTCTCAGGTACGATGACAATGCGGGACGCATTCAAGATGACGCGTCGTTGCCATCTAGGGCATGTTTGACCGGCTCGTGGTCTCTGTCAACGCCCAGACCGAGACCTACTTCTGGGCCCCCTTTGGGCAGAACTGCCTCCTCACGGCAACAGGGTTTGAGCCCGGCAGGTGATAGATGTCATATCCTGCGACGTCGCTGAATCTGAAACGCTTTTGTGCGCAGCTGCAGCGTCGATGAAGTCAACGCGACGAGCCCCATTGTATGGACAGCACTGGGTCGCACCTTGGCTCAACAGTGGGCACGCGAGCTTCAAGAATGTACGTACTCTGCGGCTCGACCAAACGTATGGATAAGAAGTGTCGGCTAGCGCCAACTCTGCGCGTCACGACGTGCGTCATCGGTGGCACATCCAGCGTTGGCTGGGCCAACCTGCAGCTGGTCGCAGGGTACAATCACGGTCCTGACGCTGCACTCGAGTGCTTATCATATGCGTAGCTATGACGCGTTCCCCGAATGCTTGCCGACCAGTGGCGCGCAGCCGGTCGCTGGGATGGCCATGCTCGAAACCACGGTATTGGCTTTGGTACAAGCTGACGTTTATAGACATGTCCTTAGATTCGAGAGGCGTTCGTGGAAGGTGTCTATCTCGTGACGCTCTACTCCGACTTGGACCCTGCCATGAATGTACTTGCGCGCTGTCATGATGACACATGCGATCCGATTGTGATGCGTAGACGGTGCTCAACCACGTGAGCTCGGACGGCTCGCAAGCCAAGCTCATGACCAACCCTGCGCGCACGATCATTACGCAAGACGGCGTTGCTTCAGCTGATGCCTTGGGCACGGACTATATTATCAACTCGTACCCGCTGGGGCCGTGGTAGAGCCTTCCATGTCCGACTACAAATATCACTCGGACGTTAGGTTCCGCGTCGTGGGATATTGCCACACGGAAATTGAAGAAGTGAGTGATCTCGGGCTGCCTGGGTGGAGCCAAGGTACCAAAAGAAGAGAGATGTCGTACCAAACGTGGTGGTCTTCAATAGGCAAGTCGTCGGGGCACGCGATCTGCCCGGGCTGGAACTGTGGCCACCAAGTCGAGAACGCGACCGCCTTGATTGCGCTGCAGCTCTGTCTTTCGATGTTGACGCTCGCACTCCTTGGTGGCGATATTTATGTCACGTGGCAAGGTTGTTTGTGTGTCGCACAACAGCCATGGCTAACCTCGATGACGTAGGCCTGCGCGGTCTTCTCCGCCACAAGCCAGTGCTAACATACGCACTCCTCTCTGGCCTCGAGCGTCGCAAGGTACTACTTCCAGTGCGCGTGATGCGATAGAACACAAGTGAGTAGGTGCTGTTGAGCTTTATCACGCTCAACGCCGCGCCGTCGCTTCTGTATCTCGACGTTTCGCGCATCTACTTTTCACCACAAACGGATTTAAGATTTGGTCGCTCTCGGCCGCGATGCTCGGCAACTGCGTCGCGTTTGGTGTCCTTTTCATCCTCTCGTACGCGCTCTGCGTCCTAGGAGCCACTCAATGCGCGCGCCGTGCATAGGCTCGTGAGCATGCTCCCTGCTCCGCGCCTTCTCCAGGATTACTGCCTCAGCTACTCGGCGCCCGCCTTCCTCTTTGGCACGATCGGGGGCGTAGCCTACAACCTCTGCGACATAGACCTGTTCAGATTCGTGTACAACCAGTTTTACGCCGCACCGCCGTACCTTGGTAATGTGCCACTTTGCCATATCTTTGTCCAACACTCTGAAATAGGAATGTATGTCAATCAGGCCACCTGGCCGAGTGGCGCGTACGTGGCAGAAGGCACGCCGGCCGTCGCAACCTTCCTCTCGTCGCTGGCTGTCTACCCAGTGTTGATTGCAATTGGTGTCTCGATGCTGCTCTCGATGGGACACCGCCGGCTGCGCTCCCGCGGGTGCGCTCGTGCCATTGGTGGTGCAGCTTCTCACGCGGGACGGTAGATTGCTCCTTCGCACCCAGTGGTGCACGACCAACTCGTTCTTGCGCTACGCCAAACGTCCACAGTACATCACGTCTCTGCCGCTCGAAGAGTCGAATGCCATCAAAATTGGCGCCAAGCTCTTTTGCAAGCCGAGCACGATGGCCCTCATGGGCTACGGTATCGTCGCCGAAGCGTATGGCGTCCTTTGAGGGTTGCTGCTGCTAAGCGTGCTGATATTGGTTAGTAGGGAGACGGACCCGGCTCCGGGCGCCGCCATGAAGCGTCCGCAGACGACATTTGTTTTGGTCAGCATATACGCACTGCTGCCCGCGCTTCTCCACAATATTTGGCGCATGCCAGTGTTCATCGCGGGCGTCATTCGCGGCAACCAGTTCGAACCTGCGGCAGCTAAAGCCACCCTCGACCGCACGCGCGAGTATGTGCACAAGCGCGGGTCCTGCGTCACGTAGACTACGAAACTCTATGATATTGAACTTGTTATCCATTCCAAACCCCTCCACTGAATCTAGTTTCACGGGAGCGAAGGGATTGGAGTGGCTGCAGCGTAAAAGGTTGACGGTCGTCCAAAATTTGGTGCGAGGATCCTAATGCAACAGGTGCTTTGTTCGCGGCCGATGTCGAGACTGGTATGCGGCTGCCACGGTGAAAAAAAGCAGCACCGAGATATACATGTTACGTCGCAACATAGAGTTTCAAGACACAGAGAATGCATTACTTCGAATTGGTATGACTCGTTATTAGTGAACGTGAGTGACATGCTTGTACTCGTAACGCGCTTGTCGATCCAGGTACGCGTCGGGGGTCGCGATGAATTTGCCGTCCACAACGTGACCATACGTCCGGGGCGGGAACCAAAAGAGACGTGGGCACAACAAGGCGGGTACGAGCGCGTAAATGCTAATGACGAAAAACGTCTTTGGCGGCTTGGGAAGGACGGGGCCGGTCGTTGTGTCGCTACAACAGAAATTCAAAAATCAGATCGGATAAATTCTAAGCAAGACGGACGTACGATGCAGTGCGACGCGTCACCGTGACATACCCCAGCTGTGTCAATACACTGGTCCAGTGTGCTCTTTCAACCACGTCATAAGGACAAAGAAACGCACCACGGGAGACAAGCTACGTGCTGGTGCACGCGTATGGTGGCATGTTCGTCGAGCGGTAATGCCGTCAAGAGCGTCGGTGGATTCGCGACCACCAGAAAGCTGTTTTGGAGGCACCAGTCCGTGCGAAGCAAGAAACTAGATTGGGTGCGATGTCAGAATCAGGATACGACAGAAATGATCACCTCTGACGACGATAGAGGCGCTCGAACAGCGTCGTGAGGAGAGATAAAGCGAGTGCCGCCGAAAGCGCCGCGCAAAGGTGGATCTGGAGCCACGTAAACACGACGGATGTGCCTTGTGCTACGTAGGCGCCACTTGGCCACGTCGCGTTGCGCAGCCACAATCCTATCATCATAATAAATGAAGGGAACCAAGGACAGCAAGTACCCAAGGTAGGCTCGGCGGCAAAGAAGGCGTTGTACGTGGTTTCGAAGAGCGACTGAGTTCCGGCGCACGCCAGGAAGATCGTAGTGAGCGACGTGTAGACGAAGAGCGTCGCATTATATTGGAGACACGCCGTGTGGCACCTCGCCGGCACCGGAAGAACCTCGATGCAGCTACCGTCGGTATCGCATCTGCATCGAATAGCGTGCAGCGGGAGCACTTGCCTGAGCACGAGTACGACGGCGAACGAGGCAAAGACGGCTAGCATCGCCACCGCGAGGCTCCAGACTAAATAGCCATTTTGCGTAAAGTAGTAGATGCGCGCCACGTCCAAGTACAAGAGCGATGGAAGCGCATTGAGGACAATGACAAGGGTCAGGCACTAGTGCAGCAGTGCTGATCCAAGGCAGTATTATGCAACACGTACTTTGCGCCGCTCCAAACCATCGAGGATACGGTATGTCATCGTGACAGGCTTCGCGTGGTAGACATGTTGCAGACCTTGACGCAAAAATGCGGTCCATAAAAGGCTGCTTTGGTCGCATGTACCGTAGCAGGTGAGGTAGATGTCGCCGCTGAGCAGGAGACAAGCCGCGACGAATGCGACGAGCTGCAGGACGATGAGCTCGGGTGCGTTCTGCACCGCGTGGCCACACGTCCAGCCCGGTGCAACGGGCTGTTGGGAGTATTTGCCTAGCCTTTGGTGCCGTTCCAAACTCTGTTGGGACGACTCTACCTTGGCTCCAGCCTCGTAACGACGACGTGAAGGCACTCAGCTCTTCCATTTCCGTGTGGCACGAGACTGTTACTTGGTAGCTACGTACGCAGCGCGTTCAAGCAGCGAGACAATCGACGAATGCACCGTACCGAGGACCTAACGGGTACGAATGGATCATGTAATTTTGTCCAATCGCATCGGCGATGGTCTGGCCCTGGAGCGTCACCAGCGTCCGCAGCGGGTTGCTCAAAAGCCGCGCCGTCGTGCCATCCGTGTTGACGTACGTCAGTACGTTCTACTCACTTACGTTAGGCACAATAATGTCATCTGTTTTGTCGACACCTGCATGGTCGGGTTCAAATCCGAGTAAAGCGTCAAAAAATAGAGGCCTTCGGGGTGGGTATCGCGGACCTACATCAACAAGCTCGCTGATGGCGACGCGTCCTGCATCAACGAACGCACCGTGGTTTCCAGCATGGCCATGCCTGCAATGCTCTGGGCGCCGTCGCTAGGAAGGCAGTCGGGATAGCCGTCGTAGCTAGAGAGCAAGTGAGGTCGCTGCAGCGTCGGCCATTTGAACCCTGCAATGAATTGGAGATCGCCCCAGCCCACACTTGGCGTGGCTCCGATGATACACGTCGTCACATACAGCACGCGCGCTGTGCATTTCGTGAAGGAAAGATTCCATCGACGAAATAAGGACCTTTGGTGAGCTCGGCGGCCCACTGGTGGGCGAGCACGAGCCCAATGGCAGTCCACGCGTTGGCTTGCGTCGTGTTCTGCACGTCTGCCGAGCAGCTAGTCCCAATTGAAGAAGACGGAGGAATGTAGAGACGACCTGTGTGCCACGAATCCTTCCTTGTCGACGACGCAGCTCTTGCCGTACGGCGCCCAAAACTGGTCGGCGGTCTGCACGTTCTTGGAGACAATCGCCCGCTGAAACATGCCCTAGAACACGCTCATGGTCATACGACCGATAGGATCAAGACGCGCACTTGAGTGAGAAAGACAAACAGTGTCACGAGCGAGAGCAGCGCAATCGAGCACGTGACGACGTTCGAGACAAGGCATTGCAAGACGTCCATTGACGTGGGCTGCAATCGCTTCAAGGCTGCCGCTGCAGCACTCGCGTCGGTCGTTGAGGGCTCGGAGCAGAGCCCCAGATTGATGTCAGGGCCGATGCGGGGCATGTGGCGCGAACAAAACGCTCCGGACGAACTAAAATAGCGCGCTAACGTGCAGCATTTGCAGTGCGGAGGACATTTTTCTTCCAACAGAAAATGTAGCAGCTTCGATGCGTTCAATCCTCAAGAGTTGTGGGGGTCGACGGTGCAAGCACCCCGGTCGACAACTCGACACCTCGTCCATGTCTAATCGAACGCCCCCTTAGCGCGAAATATCGCTCTGCCAGAGTATGTACCTCCCGTGCAAGCTCTTGTACCTGATTGTCAACGCGATCGCAAACATGCCATCAGAGGTCGACAGCCGCAATATTGTGTGCGTATTGCCCGCCACGCGAGACTGCATGGATTGGCTTTAAATGACGTGCTTTTAGCCATGGAAATCCGGACGGCCATTCGGATACGGCAGTGGGCTGGTGGACGATGAGCTTGAACTTGCCGCAGCATGGCTGGGACGACGGCTGCCTCGACGTGTACGAGAAGATCGAGTGCATTGGCGCCGGGACGTACGGCCAGGTCTACCTCGCTGCCCACCGGGACACGGGCGACATGGTCGCGCTAAAGAAGATCCGCAGCCTCAACGAGGTCCAAGGCCTCCCGGTGACCTCGATCCGCGAGATCAAGGTGCTCAAGTCGCTCCGCCACCGCAACCTCGTGGGCCTCAAAGAGGTTATCGTGACCAACGAAGTCGACGATCCCGACGACGACTTTGCTGGTACGCCTACCGCAACCCTTCATCTACCTGAATTCTCATGCGCTTAGCAGAAAAGTGCGGGCCCGGCGCCGACTTTACCACGGGTTGCATCTACCTCGTGCTCGAGTACGTCGAGCACGACCTCACGGGCCTCATCGACCGGCAGTACCCGTACGTACATACTGCGACCGCGAAATCGGATTGGGATGGCTGCCTGCAGGTTCTCGGACGTGGAGATCAAGAGCATCATGAAGCAGCTCTGCGAAGTCCTGGTTGCCATGCATGGCGTCGACATCATCCACCGGTACGCTTGGCCTGTCTCGTACGTCGCTAATGACATCGCCTGTAGCGATATCAAGTGCTCCAACCTCCTCATGACGCCCAAGCATGTCTTAAAGGTCGCCGACTTTGGCCTCGCGCGGTCTATTGGTGGCGGCGAGAAAAACTTCACCAACAAGGTTTCGTTACAACTCTCTATATGATCTCGACATGGGTGTATGTGACTAGGTGGTCACGCTGTGGTATCGCAGCCCCGAGCTGCTCCTTGGCGCCACGTCGTACGACTCAATGGTCGACATGTGGAGCGTCGGGTACCGTCTCGCGTCGTGAGGCCCGCAGCACCATCACACTTTCTATGTAGCTGCGTCTTTGCCGAGCTGTACATTGGCCGGCCGCTCTTTGCGGGCAAGAACGAGATGGAGCAGATCCGCCGCATCTTTGAAGTCTGCGGGTCGCCCACGCAAAGCAACTGGCCCGACCATGGGAGCTTGCCGTTCGCGAGCAAGTTTGTACCGGACGCCACACTGCCCAACCGCCTCGCCGACTTTCTCAAGCGCGAAACACAAGCGCGGTACCCGACGCGGGAGTTGCCCACGGGCGCGCTGGACCTTATGACGAGCCTGCTGCAGCTGGACCCAAAGAAGCGTCTCACGGCGTCGGCGGCGCTGCAATCTCGGTACTTTCGGTCCGAGCCCTTGGCACCGGCCGATCCGGAGAGGTAGAGTCACTCATCTATCTCATTCTATACAAACCTCGGTTTGATGCGTAGCTTGCCGCCCCTCTCCAACTTGCCACCGTCGCACGAATTTCAAACAAAAAAAATCCGAAAAGAGCAGGCGTCGAAGCGCAATCTTTCTGCCTCCATGTCCATCTCATCTGAGAGCCGACCGCTCGGAAGCCCGAGCGACGCACCGCTGCCACCCAAGCGCGCCAAGACCTCAAGCATTGACCTCAAGTCGCGGCAGTAGTCGAGACACGGCAAACCACCACGTACGTTCTTAAGAGTCAGCCTCTCTGCGAGTACGTGCGTTGTTTCAATGCATGCCTTTAGTCCATGTCGAGTATCAAAGTATCAAGTTAGCTAATGCAGGTGCCGCGCGTGTAGATGTACGTCTTGGTCCGGTCGAGCGGTCCTTTGGTCTCTCGGAACGTGTTGGCGACAATGCTGCCGACGGCGCGAGGCTTCACGCAGAACCATTTGGGGCTGTACAGTGCCAGCACTAAGCTGTAGATGCTCACGATCGTAAACTCCTCGTCGGCTTTCTTCATCGAGGCGGTCGCGCTACGTGCATGTGAGAGAGATGTCGTGGACACAAGCTTTTGTACTCTGGCGCGTTGAGAACGGTGGCGTACCCAAGCAGCGCCATGGTGCTATCGACCGACCGAGCGTCATGCAAGGACCTCCACATGTGATGTACCTCGGCTTGCAGAACATGCGGTTGCCAATCTTGATGGCATTCGACTGCTCGAGCGGCAGCGTGGTGAGGACGCTGGGCGGTGCGACGTGCGAGAGGAACGAGTTGGTGCTGCACCAGTTGGTCGAGAGGAAGATCCTACTCGCAGTGGATACCGATGACGTCGACGCCGTGTCGCACCGGCGCACGGCAAAGATGCGATAGAGCGTCGCGTAGCCGATCGAGGCGACCCACGACACGAAAAGCGGTGTTAGAATTTCGCTTTGGAGCCACGTAAACGCCGTGGGCGTGCCCTCGGCGACGTACGCGCCGCTCGGCCACGTCGCATTGTTGACAAACATGCCTAATAATGTCGTCATTTCATACGATGAAATAGACCACGCGATACCTATGTACGGCGGGGCCGCGAAGAAGGCATTGTAGACTTGTTTGAAGAGGCCGCGGTCGCCCGCGAGGACAACGAAGATGGCGGCAATCGACGCGTACATGTAGAGCGGCGCCGAGTACGTCAGACACTTTTGGCCAAGGAGCGACCGAAGGGGTCGGCACAGCCAATCCAGAAGGCTAAAAACAATATAGCAGCAGCAAGATACGACAACTGTTGTGTACCTCACTGCGAGAAGCCACCCGAAGGAAACGAAACTCGCCACCATGAGAGCAGAGAGACTCCAGATCTTGAAGCCATTTTCTGTAAAGAAGTAGATGCGCGAGACATCCATGTAGAGAAGGCCTGGCATCGCGTTGACAAGGATGCAGACCATAAGCAGCTACACCATCGACGTTAGATATCCGGATATGTATGCATGTACCTTGCGCCGCTCCAGACCCGAGAGAATCGCGTACGTGAGCACGGGTTTCCCACCCAAAACACCCTTGAGCCCTAGGACCCATTTCACACCTACCATGGTAATAGCAGTGTGTACCTTGATACGTGGTGAGGAGGTCGCCGCTGAGCAGCAAGAGCGTCATGACGGCAAAGATGACTTGAATCGCAATGAGCTCATTCGCGTTGGCGACGTCGTGTCCGCAGTTCCAGCCCGGCACGATGGGCAATTTCGAGTGGGCACCTACACTCGTTGTGCTTGGCATCGTCGGACGAGAGAAATCGAGCACCTTGGCTCCAGCCCGTGAGACCCAACGCCGAAATCTGCCCCGAGAGCTCTTCGATCTCCGTGTGGCACGCCGAGGTAACCAAGTATCTAATATCCGCGATAAGGACAGTAGGACATTATACTCCTGACAAGATCATGCATACCGGTCACCAAGCGGCCGCGACGTAATGATGTAGTCAGAGCCAAGGAGGTCGTTTTCGATGCCGCCTGCTTGCGTGATCACTGTTCGCTTGACGTTATCAATGAGGGGCGCCACAGATCCATCCGTGTTGACATAGTTTTGGACGAGCTGTCACATTGTCTGTAAGTCCAAATTGCTACAGTCGAATCTGAACGCACCTGCATTTCTGGCGTCAGGTCCGAGTAGAGTGTCATGAGGTAGACGCCTTCGGGGTACTTCTCGCGAATCTATCGTGTTTTCATCGACACAAATCCGGAAAATCGATAGAAAATACCGTCGTTTCCAGCATCATCATGCCCGCCACGGGCTGCGCGCCGTTGGTCGGCAAGCACTCGGGGAAGGCAGCGTATCTACTCGCATATCAAATTGGTACCATGACCAATATATATTGAATCGCAGCAGTACCCGGCGATGAACTCGAGGTTGGCCCATCCGACGTCTGCGCTGCCCCCAATGCTGCACGTCGTAATGTACAGCGGGCTTGCTGCAAACATGCGTGAGCTCTCGCGTTTACATGTGTGACTGAAGCCACGCACCTTTTGCGAGCTCGAGCGACCACTGCTGCGCGAGGGCGACGCCGACGGCCGTCCATGCAGCCGGTACAATCACGCTTTCCTCCACGGCCGAGCACCTACAACCTCTTTGCTGCTGGACACTTGACATGCTGTCGTCAGTATACGTGTTGGGCACAAAGCCGTTGGCGTTGAGCATGCAGCTTTGGCCGTACGGCGCCCAGAA